TGGTTTGTTTATACAAAAATTCCTGAAAATATTATTTTGAGACTCTTGAAAAGTCAATATAGTGTGATATGAATGACAAACTTACTATTTTTTGTAATATATTTTTCACTAAATAGAAAAGGAAACCTGCAAAGTTTGTAATAGTATTTCTTAATTGGTACATAACACTAAACATTAGTGACATTTTGATAAATATTTTTTTGAACCAAAAGTTCAATAACTCTTATATTTTATTGTTTAGCATGTATAATTAGACCATCGGTTGATCAATAATGATGTAAAATTAAAAATTCAAATTGACATTTAACGAATAACCAGAAGATTCTTCAATCCAAAGAATCCTTCATCATGTTTGTTCTTAAAAATTAGTCACTGATCGCCACTAACTAAAATATGGATTGAATTTCCTATATTTTTGAAAATTAATCAAGGTAATAAATGAGACCCTATTATTTTCCACGTTTGTATCTGATAGATTTGATACATATACTAGATGATTGCATGATACTCATAACTTGAAGTTTGTGAAATTTCTGCTCAAATTTTAAATTATGAGCATAATTTTTAGATTATACAATTAAGACGATGTGTCTTATTAATGTTAGTGATCCCAAATCTCTACCTTTTGAAAAATGTTAGTTGAGATGTCGATAAATAGTTTGACACTATTATTTGTTAAACATTTCCAATTAATTTAATTCAGAACAAAGTACTTATTTTGTTTAGGCAAAGTTATTACGCATCATGTCAACATCATAGTTATCTTTATTATAATTGGCTTATGATCAAAGCTTAGTTTTTCCATCAAATTATTTCGATAGTGCAAGATATGGAAAATTGATAAGCCACAATGCATTGAGATGAAAAGTAAAGAATGCTAAGAAAAAATAAGCAGTTTGAATCTTTATGTCAAATTGATGATATTTTATAATGCGGGTTGCTGATTGTCAATTTAATTGGACAATTTTCTTAGCATTATGGGGAGGAATTAAGAAGTTGAAATTAATGTACAAATGTATAATTATCTAAATTCTCGCAAAAGATAATTAGAACATCGAAAAATAATCTATTTAAATACATTTACTGATCAAAGAGATTGACAATATCTCACACCATCTTTAAAAGCTTCAACTCTAACATGAAGGATAATTAGTTAGTATTATATTTGATAAATTCACAGAATGCCTGAAACGTGATAATATTCGATTCTAATATAAAAATCTCCAAATGAAAAATGAGCAAATAGTAAAGATGGTCTCATCAAGGAGACATATACTCTTGATAAGTGTTTAGACATAACAAATTATAGAAGTTCAAAAGAGGTTCAGGTACCTGATATATTGAAAATTTGAGATATCTTAATAAGTTATGTCGTCGTGAGAAAAGAAATAGAATTGAAAAGAAAAGAAAAGTTCTCAACAACACTTTTATACATGATGTACTATATCATATTATGAATAGCAATGAATCGAAATAAACTTATCAAAACACATCGATCGACTAAGTAATTGGCCAAATAAATGAACACAATCCTAACAATTTGAATTTACCTTGAAAACTTGAATTTTCTAGATCCAAGGTCTGAACAACTAAAGGTGTATACTTATGCGAACTGAAAATATAAAAAGTAAAGTCGTAATATGAAATGTACCACTCTTTACATAATAAATTTTGCTAAGACTTGTATACATAGATAAATTATCATATGGTTGATGTAATCATAAGTCTCTATTTTATTAGTCCGACAATGCATGAAATTTGAAATGCATATAACAAATTTGACTATAGCCAACTTATCTTGTATGATTTTAATACTATCTTTGAAGGATTTTATGCTTGAAGCATATAATTCAAGTGCTATGATCACGAGGGGGAGAATACGTGTTATACTCTTTTTTCTTTAACCAATGTTTTGTCCCATCGAGTTTTCTTGGCAATATTTTTAATTAGGCAATTTTTTTAGCGTACTGAAAAGAATAATATACTCATTTTCCTTTATTATGATTTTTTCCACAAATTTTTTCCTAATAAGATTTTAAGGGGACATATTCTTTGTGCAATTGTGTCCTAAACCAACAAGGCATTTTCCCTAAAAAGTATACTTTTATATGTAAGCGACTCATGAAAAGATCAACAAGAGCTATTTTTTAAATCATCGTGCTACCACAGTTATTAAGTTTTGTCCCATCGATTTTTTTAAATATTGACGTACAAGACATCAACATTGAAGACATTAACATACAAGATTTGGATCGTTTGATACAAGAATTGAAATCAGGATAGTAGTTGTACTCTTTTTCCTTCGTTCAAATTTTGTCCTACTAAATTAATTGACAGAGTTTTAATAAGGCATAATTTTATTACTCCAAATTATTATTATTATTTTTATTTGTTGGTATTTTTGTCCCATCAGATTTTTGTCAAACAGTATTTCAATGAGATAATTATTGTACAAATAATCATCAAAGAAGAGTGTTGTAAAATTATAAGATATATTGATAATTATCTAGTGATATCATTTTGAACCGTCACACATTTTCTATATCGTGATTTATGTAACAAGTGTACGATGTCAAGTTTTGTAATATAATAAGAGAGTTAGAATGTCGAACTCACAAGGATTGTAATTCAAATTTCTACTAAATACTATAATTATATAGTCTCTATTTTATCTAGATGAATAAATTTTATAATCAATATTGTTAAAACTAATATGGTGACGAATTCAACAAATAAATGCAAGCTAGAAGAATAATCAAGTGAGGAAGCCTATGGTTATGATTTCACCTAACTATCAAATATGATTCTCAATTATATAATTAATTAATTTTTCAAAATTTATAAGTAAGAAAACTAATGTAATTTTACTCATTCTCTCGAGTGCCAAGTAAAAACTATTCCTATATTTCAATTCCAATATCTCTATTCCGAATTAAAATATAGAATTTATCAAGTTCGTGGTAAAATAATCAATCCACATTCTCAAGTTTTTTGCTACAATCAAACTCTAGATAATGAATTTAGCTTATGATGTAATCTATAAAAGTACTAAAATTCATATAAAAAGACATAGGGAAGAGAACAAAAAAACTAGGATGTAGATCTTCAATTTCTTCTCTTGCTCTTCTTTTTTCCGTTCTTGAATCTCTTGATATTTTTCCTCCCTGCCTTCTTGAAAAATTGTGTTAAATTCCCCCTTACCTCTTGAACCGTTCTCCCCCCGTAAAATTAGGTTTTAAAGGTTATATTTATAGTATTTTGAAATCTTGGAAGAGTGTTAAAAAAAAAAAAAAAAAAAACCTTTCTTCTTGCCCAGCAGCGATTGTGGAGCTGCAGCGCCAGTTGCTGTTGAATTTCACGGTGGCGCTGCGGCGCCGCAAATCGGATGAAAATTCAGCATTGCGCATCTTTCAGTATTTTCATCATAACTTTTTCTTTCGATATTCGATTGAGGCGATTCAAGATGCGTTGGAAATATAACTCTAAATACTACAACTTTGTTTCAGATACCATTTTCCAATTCGAACATTTGATATGTCAAAAAATGAAGAATATAACTTTTTCGATTGGAAATTGATGTGTAATCATACTTTGATTATATTTGATCCCTTTGACTTATTTCTTCATCCAATTGACGCATAGCACTCTTGAATCTTCATTGTGATGTCCGACACAACTTTTGAGTATTTGTACCTTAGTTCTCGAAATTGAATCTCTTACAATTTAGTCATCTTCTCCAATTTTGCCAACTTTTGTTTATTTCTTTCATTTTGATCAACATATATCACACTATCAAAACACATATTAAAAATCTCTAAAACTCAAGAAATTAGTTAAATATCAAATTTAGATGATATCTAAAGTATGAGTGGAATACACTAGTCAAATACCCACAAACTTAATATTTTACCAGTCCTTGAGCAAACACTAAACAAAAACAACTAATACACACACACACACTTGAACAAACAAATTTAAGAAAAGAAAAAAACATAAATTCATTTAGATAGTTTGTCTTAGTAACTCATGACTGGAAACATAATATCAATTATGAAACACATCAAAGTTATAACGCAAAAACTAAACTCTCACATATTCAATGCAAAATGGATGTGTGTATGAAGAGTTAAGTGCAATGTTGTATGAAGAGTTAAGTGCAAAATGGGGAAGTGTTTGTGGGTTAAAATGGGAGGTGAAAGGAGCATTTTTCGTCACTTTAGGCGATATTTGGGTGGTGGTTTGAGTGTGGACCGCCGGTGGCTCCATTCACAAAGGGGATTTCACAATTTCGGCTTGGGTGGTGTTTTTTTGTTTTTTGTTTTTTTTTTTTTAGTTTTGATTTTTAATTATATATTGGTGACTCATTTGTAATTTTTTGAAAACTTGAGACTATAGTAGTAATTAATTGTTTACTTTTTATTTTTTAAATAGAATGTTATATTTGTCATCTCATAACTTTTAATTGAGAAAAATGGATGAAAATAATGATTTCTGCAATGAAATGTGGCCGTAAAAATGTCAAAAAATAAAAAGATATGGACGTTTTGCACAATAATATTAAAAAATACGAACATCTTGTGCTAATTATCCTATATATATCTTCATTAGCAAAACAAAAACAAAATAAAAAATGAAAGTATACCACAAACACACCCTAAGGTTGTGTGTCATCTTTACGTGAATAAGAATAAGATAGTGTATTTTGGTGGAAGGGAAGGGATATAGCAAGGTGGAATTGGAAAAAAATAGTTCTATTTTAATTTTGCGTAAAATCAATCAGAAAAATTTTCAGAAAAAAACTCTTATACCATCTTGAATTAAACAATTTTTAAATCTTTCCGAAGACATTCAAAAACCCCGAAGAATTCCCAGCGATTGAATGCTAGATTCTCTTTGGAAACCCCTATTATATACTCCTACTGTCGCAAAATAGTTTATTGTTTGACTCTATTTCAAAATCAGAAGGAAGAATTATTAGCAGTAGTAATTGAAGTGGAGAAATGTCGTGGCTGCGATCGGCGGTGAATAAGGCGGTGGGGGTGGGGAATAAGAACAACCTCACACGCACCGTCAAGAACTACGCTGACTCAGTTGTCCAACAAGCCGGTCAAGCCGTCGCGGAGGGTGCTAAGCTCTTCCAAGATCGCATTGTAAGCTCTTTGTTTTCTATTACCAATTCAGGGTGCAATATCATATTTTACTTTTCAAATTGGAAAAAATATGTAAGATATAAAGGGTAAATTAATTGATCGGGAAGTGATTGTGGGTTTTGTTATGAGACGCCTATTTGATTGCTTCTGTAGATTATAGTCTATTGTAATGTGAAGTACTCTTGCTGACATCTTGGGAAAAAGAGAATTATATTTGGTGTTTTTCCCTATCACCAGATGATGGATATTTTTCATAGTAATTGTTGATTATATGAAAACATTAGTTTTATTAATCTTGGAAGCAGGATAACATGAAGAATAGAGGGCAAGATATCCACCACAAACAAGAGAGCTCACATTTTGTGTTGCATAAGCTTACTTTAAATGTGCATTAGATTGAAAATTAAGCCTCTCTTTGATGGTCATTATTTGAAAATTATTTTTCCCACGTGGTCATTTTCAACCACACATTCACACAATAAAATATTCTGAATGTAAATCCAAAACTTTTACATACTGATACATTCTCCTAAAAATCACTATTCAATCCCAAATAATGGCCAGGGCTAAGTTGCATTATTTTGCACTTGTTGTAGCCCATTTACCAGGTAATTTTGTTTCATTTTCAATTCCCTCGTGCTCATGTTAGGGCGGTCGGAATTTCAAAAGCTTCAAGCAGACTGTGAAAAGGTTGGAAGAAGCTTCTGTTTCTTGCAGAGGACCTGAGAGACTTGAGTTGATGAGAAGGTGGTTAGCCGCACTTAAAGAAGTTGAAAAATTATCTCAGATTTCCTCTGAAGACAAAGACAAGAACATTGAGCAGCATCAGCTCCCTGAAGAACAAAAGAGTCCAAGAAAACAATATATGGTCAGTTCAACAATTCCAGAGCTGTGATTTCTGCATTTTTTTTTTGCTGGTTATGGCAAAAAGGCTCATCTTCTTTTTGAGTTTTCTACTTCTTGAGCTTTGTATACTGTAGCTATTAGATATGCAAGGCCTCTGGGGTTTGACTGCATAAATAGGTGGTTCCTATATTGGACCGAAGTGCATAATATTCTGATTCAAAATCCCCACAAATGCACAATATATTCAGAAAAATTCAGAAATGAAGCAAGTTTCAGTTCTAGGCCGACATCAATTAATTTATCTGCTATTTTGAGCAAAATTAGGCTGACTAATGTTTAATTTCATCATTTTTTTTTTCCAATTTCAGCACCCAAAATAACTGAATTCTACAACAAACTGAAAGAACATCAGTCATTTAGAAGAAGCTGGCAAAATGGCTAACCAAAACAGACCCTGTATTCTCTAAATGGCAAACATTATAGATAATGGATTATGTAAATAAGAAAGTCTGTATATGATCATGGATGGGTAGATCAAGAAAATACCTTTTGAAGGGAAGGGGGGTGGGGGGGGGGGGGGGGNGGGGGGGGGGGGGGGGGGGGGGGGGGGGGGGGGGGGGTGAACTTGGAGGCTTTGTAAAGTTTTGCAGTCTTGTTTAAGAAGGTTGATGATAGCAAATATTGAGATCTTTGTCAAGTACCATTATTCTTTTTCAAATCGTAATAGGCAAAATGGAATTTATTACCACATGAAATTCGCAGTGTGTCGATGAGAACTAAAAATTTTTGCATCTCCATTTCTAGTCGAGGAATTTGGGTGTGACAACTGCATTTAACACTGGAAATTGCCAAAGGTTTGCCTCGCTAAACGATGAGATTTGGGATGCTATTAACGGCTATGTACTATACTGCAAACCTGTTTTCAGTTTTGATGTTCATTAACGTCTAGATAGAGGTAAAGAAGGCTAGCTTTGCGTCTGTGGATGGTCTTCACAATCCAGGATCTAGGGTGATCTGGCTGCCTGGAATTAGTTGGTCTTCAAATTATTTCACTCCTCACTTCAAAAACTTTAATTTATAAATAATATTAGCCGCATATTACTTTTTCCTGCATTTTGCCATTCAAGTAGTTTTTGAATGACTGAGTAGGCTTTAATCATTTATTTAGTATTGCAGTCATCCCCACTAAAATTGAAGTTTTCATTGATTAATTCCAAAAGTTGAACTTTTGTGGCATGTTCTTTTGGCGTGGAGAGCCAGAATTTCAATCCACCATTTTATGCAAAAAGGGAAAAAAAGGGACGAACAGAACTGTGCCTTTTTGCGGTTATTTTGAGTTACCTTTGAGGAACTTATGTTGATAAGAATTGAGGATTAGTTATGTTTTTTAGATATATGATTAGTTATCTGTAAGAAGCGGGGAAGTTTGTCATATATGGGTTATTATTTTAACGATGGTGGGTTTGCTAACATTTGCAGTGTAAAGGTTTTTGTTGGTGTATCACATATCTCATGGTTCGATCAGAACTCCCTTACTGTGATGAAAACGAGCTGCTTTCTTAAATGTGATGTGTTTTCACTTCAGAGCTTTTTGTTTTGATAGACTTTGATCTTTCGTTTACTTTGGGCTTGGGAGCTTAATCATGATTTATTTTTATGTTGTGAGAATTCACTGTTTGTTTGCTGGTTCCAGCTTTATGATGTATTTCAAAAGTTTTTGACAAATCTATATCAATCAAGACACTTTACCTAACCTTCTGTTTTAATTGATAGGTGCTGTATTATGATTCTGATATGGGCGGTGAACCCATGACTTTTACTGATGTCTTTCTGTACAGTCAGGCTTTGGAAGGCATAACCATATGCATGGTATGCGAATTTAGTTGTAATCATTTCAAAGTACTATATTTTAGCACTTGTTCCTTCCAAAATTGGGTTACGCGTCCTTCGTGCATTGATGCTGGGGTTTCATCTATTGTCTTAAGAGGCATTTTTATGAATATGTTGCAGCATCAACATCTTGCCTGGATAATTAACTTTACTTTTAGACACTGATCACAGTTACTTGGATTTACTTTATTATATAATTACTATATTCAATATATTTATGCTAAGAAGCATGGATACTTGTAAACTTCTTGGCGTACCTTGCAGACCTGTATTCGATACGTATCCAAGCTTGGTTATGTTTGGACACTCTCTGATACGTGCTGAATACGTATTTTTTAATTATTTCACATTTTTAAAATTTTTGAGACGTATTGGACACCTTAGGACACCTGAAGAGGAAGAGTTTTATTGGTTTTACTCTTTTAAATGCGTTATATTATTATTGATAGCAGATGACAGTTTGTTTTACTCAATAGATAACTGTTGTTATTATTAATAATTATTAAAAATAGATAATATTTATTAATTAACAATTTCAAAGTAAGTAAATGTGTTTTAAGATAATAGACAACAACACAATTTATATTTATTATTAGAAATAATATATTATTGAATAATTGAAATTTACACTTATTTTTATTGTCAGATTTTTGTTTTAATTTTTTTTATAATGAAATTGTGCCGAATTTTATACTTAACTTATGAAAATTACCCCACACACCCTCACATAATTTATATATTCTATATCCGTGCATCATAAATTTTGATAAAAAGTTATATCGACATGCTCGTATTGTATCGTATATGAATTATGTATCTGAATCCGTGCTTCTTAGTATTTCTGATTTGGATGGTCAAGACATAACAATATCTTTCAGCCATATGTTCTAATCAACACCGCTATGGATAAGAATGAAATTGTTGCCGAGTTATTTTGGATCTGGAGGTTAACTCTTTCCTTCTATTCAGATTCTTGAAGCACCAAGTGAAGATGAAGTTGCTCTGCTCCTTGAACTGTTTGGGTGATCTGTCTCTCTATCTTATCTTAGTGATGCATTTTGTCACAGCTTTGCAATATTCTGTTTTGGAGTGGTGCATGGGTGAAATACTATCCTTCTTGATCTCTCTACTGTTGTTATACACCTGCAGTATGTGTCTCATGGGAGGAAAAGAAGTGCACAATGCAATAGTTAGCAGTATACAGGATCTTGCGAAAGCTTTTTCAAGCTATGAAGATGAAGTATTGGTGAGTGTTCAAACATTTTTTTTGTACTATGAAACCATATTGCCCTTTTGTGGGTTCCACTGGTAATTTGTGATGATGAAATCAATGCCATGAAGTTGTTGGCAATAAAAGCTAGAAAACTGTGGGCTTTTTCTATTACGGATTAAGCATGTGTTTGCTTCTCATTTTTCATCCATAAAAATGAAAAATATAACCGTTATCCATCACATCAAGCCATCAATTTTGAATTTCTATCTCTTGTGTGGGGCCCAATAACGACTATATTTTTCATTCTCATTCTACAATAATGAGAATCAAACAGACCCAATTTACATATTTAACATGGGCTTTTTCTATTACGGATTAAGCATGTGTTTGCTTCTCATTTTTCATCCATAAAAATGAAAAATATAACCGTTATCCATCACATCAAGCCATCAATTTTGAATTTTTATCTCTTGTGTGGAGTCCAATAACAGTTATATTTTACGTTCTTATTCTACAATAATGAGAATCAAACGGGCCCTAAATTGTATTCCAACTTTGCGTGTTTGCATGAACTCCAAGGAGAAAAGGAGATCAGAAGAAAGGGTTGGGGAAGGGGGTGGTGTTGTATGTGTGCTGTGTCCATTTTGATTATATATGTTTAGATAACTTTGACATGAAGGGGTGATCTATGAATGCTGCAGTTAGTGATTTTGACTAGTACGAAAGTGGGAAACACGCATAATTTAGAACCTTGGTGGGTCTAACTGTTAAGGTAGATCTAGTGATGGCATTTCAAAAGTACTGTGTTAGCATTTTCTATGCCTTGGAGTTGCCTTTATCATCATTTGAAATCTTAGGCTAGGTTAAGTAGCTAACAAATGAGGTATCCGTTGAGCAGGTGAAGCGTGAGGAATTGCTTCACTTTGCAGAAGGAGCCATCACAGGATTGAAAGTCAATGCTGATATTCGGAGGTATTCATAAATATCCAGTTTTCTTCCACTTTTTCTGCATTGGTATCCTTGACCTATGTGACGGATTTGGTATGATTTTAATTTAAGGACACTGTCATGTTGTGGATCCCTAAACTAATTGAAATAAATATTGTGTTACAAGAGAATTACTCCTTTTGCTCGAGTGGGAGCTTTTTTTTGCTCATGAAGAATTTGCCTAAGGTTTAACATTATGAGGTCATTCCGTACAACATTGCCATTCTTATCTGAACTATGTTGCATTTGTGACATTGATACGTTGATACAATTAACTTTCTAATATCCAAGATGACTTTCTCCGATGAATGTTGATATCTGCAAATGATGGGCATGTTGTATATCCTCATGAGTTTTAGGAAGGCATTTTGTGACGTCAAACTTACAAGTAAAACACCGTTTTACTCCAACGTATTTGACTAACAAATGCAAGGATGTCTTCTAAATATAAGAGCATCACTTCCCATTAATACCAAATAAGTCTTGCACTTCGCAGGGGACAAAAAGGGTAAACTTCTGCTTGCCAGGTCAAGTTTCTTACCTTTTATTGTGGTCTATGTTCTCTGCACAGAATTGATGCTGAGGTTTCCAAATTGAAGAGAAAAATTGATGAACTGAAATCATCAAATAATCATGCTGGGGATGGTCGTGAAACAAACATTCAAGATAATGCAATTCCGACATTGGAGGTAAACCTGCCTTTTTCCACCCATTTTTCTTTTATTAAATTTTTTTGTGCATTTTTAATTGTGATGAGTTTATGATGTCTGCAGTAAATCATTACTTGCATAATATTAGTATAGGAAGTTGTTCATTGTCTTATTGATAATCATTCATTCCTGTTTATTCTAATTTTGGTTTTCTCCCTTTAATTATACTGATGACACCTTGCATGCTCCTTAATTGTTCCAAATATGGTTACTCTTATTGAGCTTACATTATACTGTCTATTATCTGTTTCATTTCTCAGAAAAAGAAAATGGTATGATCTGTGTATCCGTGTTCTCAGAAATTGGGATAAAGATGGTTTCCATAATATTTGGCCCACGATTAACTTCTAATTTCAATTTAATCAATAACACCTCATATCACAGTAATTCATATTATTTTTCCTTAAAATTAGTAGCCATTGTAGAACTTACCAACCATTTAACCCGGGATGGGCTCCCTAGTGATCGAAGATCCACCTCCGGGTATGAGTTCTTTATTGATGGTAATCTCATTTCATGGAGAAGTAAGAAGCACGATATTGTCCTACTTGTTATGAACTGAGTTTGAACTCTGGATATATATGTGGAATATTAGTGCCCCTACTAAATGACCGAACCTAGTCTTTGTGTACCCACTTGTTCTTGCTTAAGACAATCTGCATTGGATAACTTTTCCCCCACGTCATCTAGGAAATCTCTACATGTTAAAGAGACGTAGCATAATTTAGAATGAAAAGATTTGGATTAGAAAATGATGACATGAAGGAAAAGTTGGCTTTATCTTATGACCATTGACAAACATAGGAGACCTATCAGCATAAGCCGAAATATGATTCATAATGGAACTGTCGAAGTTTCTTTCTATTTTGAAGCAATTTGGTCAGTCCGTTTTCCTATCATGAGGGATGACTATTGACAACTGCAAAGTGCTGTTCACCAACTAAAACAATGCTTGACCCTATGAAGCAAGGGAAAGACTGATGAATTGGATTCTTCACATTATATTTTAAGTCATTTTTAAAACCATAGGCACAGTTTCTGAATGTAAAGTCTGGCCTTTGGACAAATTTGTTCTTGGTTTCAGGCTCTGTTTAATTGGTTGTGCAATAGCACTATTTAATGCCAAATTATAAATAAAGAAAACTTCATCGCAAGCCTATGAGTTTTAGTGATCTTTTAAATAGTTTATCCTAAAAAATTAGAAGTTCTTGATCAATCTACTGCAACGTATTCTATGGAATTATTAGGACTGGAAGTTCATAGTCTAATAATTTCATTTTTCTATTAGGCTCTCAAAGAAGCACTTTCACATGTCCGAGTTTGTTCCAAGTTAGAAGGGTTTCTACTGAGGAAAAAAGCTATTAAATATGGAGACACAGCTGAAATTCATGCGCAAAAGGTATATTACTAGCACTTCATGTATTGTCTTAATCAACGGCTGTGTCCCTGTTCTGGCAGCACTAAAACTCTAACGTGCACAGTTGGACTCTTATTGGAGCGTCCCTCAGTTTCATGTCCCATCAGAGATGTATATTATGGCAATTTTTTTACAGTTAATGCGTATTTAATGGTGTTGGAGTACAGCAGTATGCTTTGGATACAGGACCCTGTCAATCACACTCCATTTGACCCTGTTCTTCATTTTATTCTTTGTAATGATTTTTTATTTTTTTTACATCATTAGCAAATGAATGTTCTATATTTGCAGCTTCACCTTGTTGTTATTTGATATAGCCTTAACTTCCTGCATGGAGCATAATTAGTAGGGGATGTTCTCTCAGAATTTTCACATTATTTTTAGAAGCTTTGAGGTCTTTATGTCTAAATTTTCTTTTTTAACATAACAGGTTGATAAGTTGAAAGTCTTGTCAGAATCTCTTTTGAGCTCCTCCTCAAAAGCCGAGAAGCGCATCTCAGATAACAGGTATTAAACTGCATATGAAAAAAATTATGTAAGTCAACGTCCTTTCGTTAATTCTAGTCCAAGAATTAGATGTTTATAATGATTTGATCTCTTTTTATATCTACATGCATTTACTTTCTTAAGACCTTTCAATCTCCCATAGTCATTCACTTTCTTTGGAAGGCATCTGTCATTTGAAGTTTTATGGGACTTCAACCTTCTTTGCCTGCTCATTGGCAGTGGTGCTTATTAAGAATGGTGATTTATTTTGCATTTTATTTTATCTATTTCCTTAATTTTTGTAGAGCTCAGAAAGAAGAGGCATTAAAGTTTCGCGTGAGCAAAGCAAGTGAAGTTAGTGAAACAGAAAAGGTATTTTCCCACATATTTTGTTATTTTGGCTTCGTAGGCAGATGAGTTCAGAAAATTAAAACAAATTATGCGTCTTTGATTTTAGATTCTAAGATACACATGTAAAGACTATTTTTTGGTGTGTATTGAATGGACTGATATACAGCAGAATTTAACATCTTTTACTTACCTCCTATTTCACTGATATTAAAGGCAAAAAATGATGCATTCAGACTCGGTGTGTAATCAACCTGACTCACTGGATGTGTCTGACATATAGGATACAAAATATCATGATTGGATCATATGAATTAATTATATGTGAAGTTCTTGTTTTTATTTGATCATGTGTGGCATATGCAGCAGGCTTAGAAATTCTCTCACGAGTTCTCTAAGCTCCTCATGTCAAAGGGACAAAGAAAATGGGGTTTTCTGGCTCGTATCTTATAAATAAGGAACTAAGTACTATGAATGAAAAGAATGACTAAAAGAAGCATCCTGCCATCTGGAAGCAGTGGTCTATGCAAAAATTGTCTAATGAAGCTTCTGAAATAACAGCAAAATTTGGCCTTTGGAGTGGTAAAAGAATTAGAAGGAAATAAATAACATTTGACTTTCGGTAAGAAAGTATCGACGCAATATGTGGTACCATGATTTTGCTCATGGAATATGTCGTAATACTTCCTGTCTGTATTCAGGTTTTTTAATTGTATTATGTTTCTTGAAAAGCTTGTCTTATAATATTTATTAGCTACAATATGAGTTCGGAATTATTAATTTTTTAATTTTATTTTTTAGTAGCTTTCCCGCATGTTTGTGTTTACCTTATTATTTCCAAGATCCAGAGGGAGAGTAATGTTAGCTTTTGAAGTTAGAGGTGGTTCTGGTATTGCAGTCAAGTAAATGTCATGTATTTTGATGGAGGCTAAATTAGATACTCCAATCACCGTTGGAGTCCAGATTTCTCTAAGGGGAAATTCTAGAAGAAAACCTTGAAATTAGGAGCAAGAGATATAATAAAATCCTATGTTTTTAATTAAATTCAAGTCTGGCCATCCTGGACAATACTTTGACTCTTTTATACTAAACAATGACTTCTAGGCTTCGGAGATGGCTGAGTTCCTAGACATCAATTAAATGCATACTAATTTAACACGAGAAATTAGAACACACTTCCTTGACCCTGAAAGTATCAAAACTTCATTAACTTGAACAAAGACTTAAACAATGACTCTTTGATTCCTTTTGACTCTTTAATTAAGACAAATAGTTAATTTGCATCATATTTATATGAGTGATGCATTGCACCAGTTTAGGTGTTGGAACACATGATAGATTCAACTAAATGAATCTTAGAAAAACACATTTAATTAGACTTCTTATTTAATAATAGCTACATGCCACATAGACTGATGCATTGCTGGTGTTAGATAGTGTTATTCTTTTTATATTTCTGCTGTTCTAATATGTTTTATTATCTGCAAGTGCAAGTTTCCATGATTAGGAGCAATTTTCAATTTGCCACTATTCATTCCGAGCAAGTGCAATACTGTCTCAAAATCATTCTTTTTCCAGGAACTAGCAGCTGAGATTTCAGGTCTCGAGAAACAAAGAGATGAACTAGAAGCTGAACTTAAGAAGGTAATATCATCTGAGCTAAGTAAAATGTAGAACACTTGGGAAAAATTTCCCAAGTTTATGTCCGCACAGATAACATTTTATTCTCTATCTAATATGCTTGTGCACTTGCAAAAGGTGCTTCTTCTGTGCACTAAGTGTACTGCTCTAAAGTTACGGCAAAAACACTCTGGGATTAGTAACATTTGCATACCTTGTGATGAAGCACTTGTCCATTTGATTTACTAGTGATTTTAAAGATGGAATCATTTACTCCTCAAATGATATCTCCATAAAATGGCGGCGAGAGCTTCATCAACATAAAACAATATGAGAACATCTATGCAATATCTAAATATGGTGAGTGTCACTGAGATGTGCTTAGCTTGATGAACAGAAAGATAGTAGCCGGATGGGAATCAATGACACTTCCAAGTTAGAGTAGTTAGCTTATTTTCAATGAATTGGCCCAGACAAGATCAATGATCCTGAACGACTTCAATTTCAAACTGCATTTGCATTAAGTTTTTCACTTGGTTTCTGCTTCTTTCTGCAATTCAAGTTGATCTCTCTGGTTTGGAAGTAGTTTCTTAGAAGAACTACATATTGTTGCCTCTTCTTTTGGCAAGCTGGCATTTCCCTCCTGTGGGGGTGGTGAGTGGTGGGGTTGAGGCGTTAATGAAGTATATATAAGAGCTTGTCAGTTAACAGTTCTAATGCTAGCTTTGGCAAACTGGTTAGTACAGAAATATATTTTTTACAAATGGGATACTGCTAGGATCTTTGTTGCTTCTGACTTCTGCAAATTAAGAGAAACTTGTGAATTTTAAATTGCTTTAGGTTTTTAATTTTCTTTTTAGTAACTTGTTTTGATTGTGCCTATCCCATGATTGTATTCAATGGGAATATTTATTTAGGTGACTATCTCCTTGACTGCTGCTCAAGCCCGTCTTCACAATATGAGGGAAGAAAGAGACCAATTCTATGAAGCTAATGATCAGATTGTTGCCCATTTAAAAACTAAGGTCTGCTCAAGTTTTCCGTTAGTTATTTATTTTGTCCCTGCATTATTAAGTTGCTACTAAATATTACTTGCAGGCTATATGTGTTTCGTAACTTTTTTTGTTGCATACCATGTCCTTACAACTTCATAGGAAGACGAGCTATCGAAATCCATTAACTCAAGCCGAGTAGAAGCAGATGTTCTAAGTACTTGGATAAATTTTCTGGAAGATACTTGGTCTCTTCAATGTTCACATACAGAGACAAAAGAGAAGGAAACCGAGTATGTTAATGAACTTTAAAATTATCCCCTTGAGTGTAGTTTCTCTTCCTAGATTTGAACATTCATTTGAACTTCTGCTACTATTGTTTCATAATTTCAATTTTTATGCTTATAAGGTGAATCAGATTTTTGTAAGTTATCGAAATATTTAAAGTTTACGTTGTAGCTAATTTACGTCTTTGGATTTTTCAAGTGATGAATTGCAGACACATGAAGGCTACTTTTTAAATTTGGTTATTCAACTGCTTTCGGACTATGAGGTGCTTATTTGACGTCCCCATCAGAATGACATTTTCTATACATAGAATCTCCCTTCTAATTCTTATGAATGACCTTGTGAACTCTGACATTTATGATTACCTTTTGTTAAAAATATATGATGCAGAATGAGTTGAGACCCTGTATTGATCGCATTGAAAAATACGTGGAGAATTTGAAGAGTTTAACCGAAGGGTATTTCTTTTTGTTGCATTGTTTAAAATATTTCTACTTTGGTAGAACACTTGAAATTTTTAAAATTGTATTACAGGTCAGCACTGGCTTCTAACGTGGAAAATGATTATTCCAAAATACTGAACCCAAGGAGAAGCCTTGAGGAGGAATACCTCAACTATGAAGCTAAGGTGAAAACAATTACCTTATGCTTACATGATTTGAGTTCACTTTTCTCTTGCAATATAGTTCATAAGGTGTCTAAAAGTATGTTGATGCGCTGAGTAGCCGTCCCTAATTATTTAGCCAAACTAATGCTCCTCTGTTCACCTGATCTCCTCGAGATAAATGTAGTTAATCACTTATTTTAGTCGTTTTGCTGCTTATTTTTCATATCATCAAGTTTGACTTGATCCCTATAAGGACTGGCAGTGGCATGTTTACATAAAAAATAATGAGATTGTCATTTATTTTCTGTACAGATCGTCACGACTTTCAGCATAGTGGACAACATGAGAGAGCAGTTCTATGCTCAACGAGGAACAATCTCCAGGTTGGATTTCCAGAACTTGCATATTCTTCTGTTAGTAATAATACTGGGACTTTTCTAAAATTTGATTACTGGCTCGAGTTCATTCAGTAAAGATGATCCAAAGGTGAAAGAGCTATTTGACAAAATTGCTAAGATAAGAGAGGAATTTGAATCTATAGAGAGACCAAATCTAGAAATCGAGAATCCCCCTCCACGGGCAGATACATCATCTGGTGAGAAGCTGCAGGAAAGTGTTGTACACTCCTTGGAACTAGCTGCAGAGGCACCTGAAGCTGGGAAAGACAAGCAGCCTGAGCAACCCAGCATCAAGTCTGAGCAGGTGCTTGACCCTGAAGCAGAATTGGCAAAGCTGGAGTCTGAATTTGGTAAGTCAAACAGGGATTACTCTGCGGAAGAAATTAATGACTGGGAATTTGACGAGCTCGAGAAAGAATTGAGATCTGGTGATTCATCAGGGAAATAGGTAGAAACTATCGATCAAGATGGACGTATGTTGTATCAAATCCAAGTTGAATTTGTGTATGATCTAGTGGATGATTTTGTGCTTCTCAAGGCTTATTTTGTCCTCGGAGTCCACTATATGCTTGTTGAAGTCCATTTTATTTATTCTTGTGTAAATCCTTAAAAAATATACTATTTATACTTGTATCAATGGCACAAAGACAGACTTTTTATGCAGGTGAGAGTTCAAAACAATATCTTGAATTTAACATTTACAATTACACATAAATACTTTTGGTTAACCATGTTTCACCGAAAATGTGTTCAAGTTGTTGCATAAGGTGATATATATATATATATATATATATATATACACAGAAATGATCTAATGAGTACCGGTGCTCATCTTATCCTAAGCACCGATGAGTTGGCACATTAATTCATTGGT